CTACAATGTAGACATCTCAGGTGATTCCTTAGTGTTTGATTCATGCCCTTGACTACAACTGGGTCACCACAGATGTTCTAGTGTTATGATATTTCCCTTTTACAAGCACAATGCACATCAGTTTGTAGTTCTGGGTTGCTTAGTTTCATATGATTCAAATGCACTGATTTAACTTGATATCAGATTTACTTTAGACTAATCTTTATTCTGCTTTACTCAATGTTGGCGTATCCCATACATAAGTCAATTTATGCCAATTTGCGTGTTTGCAATTACCCAGGTAGAACTGTTCTAACAAACTCAAATTAATGTTGATTTGTGAGCTTACAATTTACAGTCATAAGTAACATGATTATTTAAAATTGTAAAATGTTATGAGGTAAAAAGTACTTTTTGTGTTTGTTTTGCTTATGCATTAGATCTAAATAATGTAGTCTATGCAGTCATATAAGAGTGATAGTAGTTTGAGTCCAAGGCTTACATATGGGCTTTAAAACAATGAAAGAAGCCAGGAATTCCTAGGATACACATACAATTCTCTTGATCAGAAAGTAGAATCAATAATAAATTGTGTGAACATGATGGGCCACCTGGCTTTTATCTACTGTCAAAATATATGTTTCCATAAAACCTGAAGAGTCTTCACCTGGTAATGAGGACAGGCTGCACAGAAGAGCCAATTACTTCCCATGAGGAGTAAAGGATGGATGAATCATCATTGGGACATACAGGTATAATAAAGATTTTACAGGAGTTGTGCTAGAAGAGGATTAAAGTGCTATCGCTGTTTTTTTTTGTCATCTTTAAAAATGAGGTTAGGATTTTTCAGAACATTTTATTTAATAATTTACTCAATATGTTTATTTTCACCATGCACAGTTTATTTTATGTATTTTACATAGTTCCATTGTGTTCTCATAAACTGATTAATCATTACATTATCAATTGACAATAACATTATATTAAAAAAAATTATATGTGTGTGTGTTTTATTTAACATTGCTTATGCTATGAATTAAGAGTTTACTCACTAAACATCAAATTGAAAGTCAGATTGCAAAATATAGGCAATAAATAGTTTGTTTGTAAAAATTATCCAACAGTTATAGCCACATTTTTTTGGCTATTTTAGTGCAAATGTTATGATTCAGTTTTCAGTTTACTGCAGACCAATGTCACCGTGATGAAAGAACATATTCTATTTCGTTGGTGGTGATGCCTTATCTCCCTTAACCTACCACCCCAACAGATCTATCAGTTTAAGTACATATTAATGATTTTACTTTTCTGATTAATATTAATGTTCTGCATTTTTCACAAAGATATTAGCATATTCAAGAATGTTGGAATAGGTTTCAAATAAATAATAAACTTATAGTTCCCTGAATAATAATGATTGTCTCTATAATAATACAAATACATTTTTTGCATTTATAGGATATTTTCATTTTTAGCCATCATTTTAATCATAGTTCTATATAGATAGAAAAGAAGAATAGCAAAATCTTAGACTCCTTTTCAATATTTGTTGAATTTTTATTTTTTTGTTCAAGAAATAAGGATGCTCATTAGGGTTTAAGTGCCTGTAACAAATTATCCCAAGGTTTTTCTATTATATTTCTTACTTTAAGGTACCAGTTGAAGAAAAGAATGTCATAAATCACGCTCATTATTTACACTTAACTTTTCCTCCTTTAGGATATAGCATTGCTACATTTTTAATCCTGTATAATATTTCCTGGGGATACCATTGTTGTTAAAAAATATTCTGCAAAGCTTCAATTTCTACCTTGTGGATATGTTCCTCAGTACAGTTGCAAACTATTTTCATTTTATTTTGTGAAAATGCTATTTTTGTACATGGAAGATGGCAAGAACTGAAATGCAAATAGCAACAACCTCATTACGGTTTCATATCAAACTTTTTTTTTTTTATATTAGACTTCCTTTCTTTAATAATAATATATGACAATTCATCAAGTCAGGTGCTGTACCTTTAAACAACTATATAATACTTTGAATTTGTGCCAAACCAAATATAGTCATAGAATTGATTAACTAGATCATAAATGATTCTGTTCTCAAAACTTCCACCATCTATATTTGATATTTTGGATGGCATGGATGAGCCATTGCTATTCCTTTACTTTTTTTTCATCTTCTTTTTATGATGTTATTATTTATTATTATTATTATGTTATTATTTATACAGCGCCTAAAAATTCCGCAGCCCTTTACAGTGGGTGGACGAACAAACATGTAGTTGTAACCAGACAAGTTGGACACACAGGAACAGAAGGGTTGAGGGCCCTGCTCAATGAACTTACATGCTAGAGGGAGTGGGGGAAAGTGACACAAAAGGTAAGGATAGTATTATACTAATGACAGTTACAAGAGAGGAATCATTCGGGAGCTATTAACAGTTTAATTGATTCGCTTTTGGGTTTTTAATGATTTTTGAAGGAGTGGAGACTGGGTTTGCATCTAACGGAGGAGGGAAGTGAGTTCCACAGGAACTCGAGAAGTCTTAAAGGTGAGCATCAGAGGTGGGAGTATGGACAGAAGAAAGACTTGAGTCTTCAGCAGAGTGTAAGGGCCTAGATGGGACATACTTGTGTATTAGGGAGGATAGATTGGTGGGAGCAGCATTATGTAGAGATTTGAAAGCAAGAACCAGATTTTTAAATTGAGCCCTATATCTTACAGGAAGCCAATGTAGGGACTGACAGAAGGGTAAGACGTGGGCAGTGTGGGCGGACAGGAAGATGAGCCTTGCCGCCGCCTTCATTATGGGCTGTAACGGTGCAAGTTTGGTCCACGTAAGACCACTGAGAAGTGGATTACAGTAGTCAAGGCAAGAAAGGACAGTGGAATGGACCAGCACCTTAGTCGCATCTGGCGTTAAGTAGGGTCGGATGCGCACAATGTTTTTGAGATGGAAGCGGCAGAATTTGGCGATCGACTGGACATGAGGCATGAAGGAGAGGTTGGAGTCAAAGAGAACAGCTAGGCAGCGATCCTGCATGGTGGAGCTGATGTTAGCACCATTGACTTGGAGAGAGACAGACACAGGAGTAGCAACACTTGAGGGAGGAAAGATCAGAATTTCAGTTTTGGCCAAGTTGAGTTTAAGGATGTGGGCAGCCATCCAGTTAGAAATAGCAGAAAGACAGTCAGAGACACTAGTCAAGAGGGACGGGGAAAGATCAGGAGAGGACAGATAGATTTGTGTCATCCACATAGAAATGATATTGGAAGCCAAAGGAGCTAATAAGTTTACCAAAGGATGCAGTATAGATGGAGAAGACACCAACAGAGAGGAGTTGGGGAGAAGACGCAGATTCAGAGAAAGAAACACTGAAAAAGTGCTGGGAGAGGTAGGAGGAGTAATATCTTGTAGACCGATATTGCGGAGGATGAGAAGAAGCTGTTGATGATCAACAGTGTCAAAAGCAGCAGAAAGGTCAAGGAGAATTTGGATAGAGTAGTGACCACGAGATTTTGCATCAAGTAGATCATTGGATACTTTGGTCAGTGCCGTTTGCGCAGAGTGCTTAGCGCCGAAACCTAGCAGAGAGTTGGACTCAAGGAAGTCTGTCAATCTCGCATACCCAACTCTTTCAAGGATCTTGGATGCAAAAGGCAGTAGCGAGATAGCACGGTAGTTGGAAGGGGAGTTAGGGTCAAGTTCTATAAGCAAAATTACAGATATGCAGCAAAACAAAATCACAAGGAACAGTGCAAATGATTTCAATATTAAAAATAAAATTGAGTTGTATGATTGTCCATAAAACAATTAATATTGCACCTGAAAACAATACAACGACTTCATCAAACCATGGCTCATTTTTTTAACTTTTTTTTTTTTGTTTTTTTGTTAATATTTTTTAATGTTTTCTTTTCCACTTAATCAGGTATGAAATATTACAATATTTGTGTTTGAATAAACGTTTAATAATAAATCATTACAATACAAATCATAACCATCATAAGAAGAACAATAGCATACATTACACAATATATACAAAATCCTGTAATGATCACAGGACTCAACATTTAAGACAAAATAAGACAAAAACATTCAATCCGTTGTCGAGCAAAGGTGTCCTGGGGTGTTATATTACCTATACGTATAAATCTGATACTTTCTAGATTTTCAACGTTTACGGCTAGTTGACATTTTCTATTTCCAATTTGTTTGCCCATTCTTTCCATATTTTAGTTATTTTGGATCTATATCCTAAAGATTTGCTGATATTTCTCTCCATTTTAATTTGGAATTCTTACTGGCAATATAAATTTGATTAAAGTGGGACTTGAGAATGTTTCCAACTGTGCGCAATTAAAATCTTTACGGCCAAAAAGCAATGTGTGATAAAAAAAACCAATCTTATTATTTGTCTTTGACCAATTCAGATGCAAAAGGGCTAATTCCGGAGCAAAATTCAAATCTATGTTGGTATGTTTTTTTATAAAAAGAAATATATTTTTCCAAGTATTGACTATTTTATCACAGATCCACCATATGTGAATGTATGCTCCATTAGTCTTATTGCATCTCCAGCATATTGATGAGTAGTCCAGGTACATTATTTTCAATCTAGTTGGTGCTAAGTACCACCTATTTAATACCTTGAAGTGTATTTCTGCCCAATTACTTGCATTACTTTTTTGACTTTTAAACATGCATCACACTACTCCTTCATATTTATGATTTATTTAAGGTCTCTTTCCCAAATTTGAAAAACTGGAAATATTTGTAGTATTTCCATTACATTCCACAGATCCATACCTTTGAATATTACTCTGGGTGTTAAATCACAATTTAAAATATTAAAAAGTTTGTCTATTGGGGTGGAGCCAAGCAGCACACCAAGGCGGACGCCATTCTCAACGGCTTCAGCCAGATGATCGACAAAACCCACCTTTTTAGTGGGAAAAACTCAAAAAACACAAGCACCAACCCCACCCCAGATCTATAACCAGAGGGCCTCACCGAGTCCGCAGATGCCCTTTTTGTTCCCGGCGACCACTAAATCCCGGCGCCAAGGATCTCGGGCCTATCACACGGGAAGCCCGTGGCTGACAAGAGAAGGCTGCTCTGATTCAATCCTCGACCTCTTCACCAAGGAACTACTCGGTGAACCGACCGACTATACAATGGGACACAAAAACCTACGACTAAGCCAGCCAGAGAAAACCAGGACATCGGGCAAATGCTCGCCTCAGTGCCGTGTACAAAAGAAATGCCAACCCGGCGACCCGAGGCCCAACCTACCTCACCTGAGGATAATGTTCCAGATCTGGGGTCCCTGCTATCAGCAGACAGAGATGCACCGTCCACAAAGGGGGACATATACAACAAGTTTTTACATATGCAGAAGCTGTTTACCACGGATATCACATCAGTGAAAACTGAGCTCGATAAGATAAGCACCAGGCTTCACACCTCAGAGGCAGACATAAACACCCTAAAACAGGGCATGAATAGTCTTGGGAACACTGTTCAACACCTCAGCTCTTCATACTCACACTTATCAAGCCGCATGGAGCAACTAGAGGACCGGAGCTGGAACAAAAACATTAAGATAAGGGGTGTCGCGGACATGCTCCCCTCCGAGGAACTCCCACATTTCGTCAGGCGCCTGATCGCCTACTTATTACCCACTAGATTGGCCAAACAATTCTCCTTTGATGGAGTATACCGCATCGACAAGTCCCCCCAGGCACCAGCAGCATCGACCCGAGACATCATATTATGCTGTCAGTCCTATGCCGACAAACGAAGAATCTTCACAGCCCTGAAAGGGAAAATGCCACTGCAATTCAAATCATTCTCACTTACCTTCTTCTAGGATCTCTGCAGAGCCACGCTACTCTGGAGAAAATCGATGCACCCAATCACCAGAGCCCTTTAAAGTGCAGTGACTAAAATGAGAAACACTACAGGGCATCTAGCCCATCGGATTACACAACCTTACTGCAGGAACTGGACCTCACGGCAGAGCAAGACGCGTCAACATCAGTTACATGGGACGTGAACAACATTGCCCCATTTGTACCTGGGGCCAAACAGGACACTGATACTTGACTGTCCTCACACACCTCATCTCTCACGTTGTCGTTTTTCTTTTCCTCCCTCCTCAACATGCAGAACAATGGTCCCTAATGCATCCTATTGTTTTATGTTGAAACTGAAAATCAAGCGTTGTATCCCCTTTTGATATCTTAATGCACCAACAAGTATAGATAGACACATACCCGCTCCCTTTTGCGCCTCATCAGGCCGAGTTGTGCAGAGCACATATAACTACTGTAACCAAGAGACCTTAGTCTCCCCCACCACAGTACTCTGACGTCCGCCTACAGTGCAGCCATAAGTTGGAACAACTCCACTTTCTTCCCTCTCCCCCCCTGTTGCCCCATAGGTTAGGGGAACCACAGATAGGTCAAGCCACACACAACGGCACCTGACCGCTTTGAATTATATAACATTATGACCTGATGATAACCCACAAATAGTCAACAGACGTGCTTTATATTCATCTGCATACGATGTATCCACTAGGCACGCCAAGCCCTATTCTTATACTTACCACCCTGTAATCCTCAGAGGTCAATATGCAGACACTGCAAGTATTAACGAATCACCCACGAGATTATAGTATTGCCTTTTTAGACCACCACCATACCTGGTCACTATATACTGGTTTAAGAGCTACTACCAACCAGACCAACTCACTAATAGGCATAATGAGGCATGGCAGCATGATAACCCTAGATGCCACACATCATAGCAGACGCATCATCCTAGCCTAGAGAACACGCGTTTACTAGAATAACTCGACTTTAACTTTGTAAAACTGTGCAGTTGCCTTGAAGACAATGCCTATGTTCTAGTCTGTTTAACCTTTGATTTTACTGTTATGGTATTGCTAACTTGAAAATGTTGTCATGCACAGCCAAATAAAGAATAAAAAATAAAAAAAGTTTGTCTATTGCAGGGGTCCTCAAACTGTGACCCTCCAGCTGTTGCTGAACTACAACTCCCATGATTCTTTGAATTACATAGATAGCCAGAGAATCATGGGAGTTGTAGTTCAGCAACATCTGGAGGGCCGGAGTTTGAGGACCCCTGGTCTATTGTATCTGATTTTTCGCTCACCAACGTGGTCATTATATAATTTTTTAATCTAAGATAATTAAATATATCCGACCCTGGAAGTTGGTATTCATGTACAATCTGTGGAAAAGGTTTTACTCTTCCTGCCATTAAAATTTGTTCTAGTTTTATGATGCCCCTCCTTCTCCACCCATTGAAATCCATGTCCATGATATATTGTTTTAAAGAGGCTAAATAGATGTGTTCGGGAATTTAGTTTGATATACCACATTTGTTTTTTATTTTCATCCAAAATCCCATTAGATGATCCAAAATAGTATTAGAATTTCTGACAAACTTAATCTTATTTGAATTCTTTGCTTGCCATAGCAAAAGAGCTCAAATCATTAAATGGCAAGTTTCCCTCTCAGTTTGATACCATGCTTCTTCTTCTTCTTGTGTGCTTAATTGAGTATTATATATATGATATATCATACTAGCTGAAAAAGTTTTTAATTGAAGGAAATTTAACTCCTCCATTAGACATATTTTGAGCTAAAGTATTTTGAGTTAATCTTGTTTTTTTCCCTGCCAGATGAAACTTGTAATAATCTTCTGAATTATACTTAGCCACAAATCTGAAAAATTCAAAGGAATCATCCTGAACATATATTGCCATTTAAGGGGCCTTCTGCGATTCTCACTGTGAAAATCAGAGTGAGAAGACGCTGGACGTCCATAGGAAAGCATTACTCAATGGGCGGTTCGAATGCGTGCGCGGCTCTTGCCGCGCATGCACATTCGGAGCTGAGAGGCGGATCGGGGCGGAGAGAACCCCAGCGCCAAGGGAGCCCGGCGCTGGAGAAAGGTAAGTGCTGAAGGGGTTTTAACCACACAGAACAGACGCACACACACTAGTTAACAGGCAAACACATTTACTGACAGACACACACTCAGTGACAGACATACATACACACTCACTGACAGACAGACACACATACATACACACTCACTGGCAAACACACACTCACTAACAGACACCAAACAGACACCAAACAGACACCAAACAGACGCACTAACAGACACACATTAACAGACACACACAAACTAACACACTCACTGACACACACACATACTCACTGACACACAAACTAACACACTGACACTCACTAGCACACACACTCAATAACAGACACACACAAACTGACAAACACAGTAACACACACACAGTAACACACACACACACAAACTAACACACTCACTGACACTCACTAGCAGACACACACTCAATAACAGATACACACAACTAACAAACTCAGTAACAGACACACACACACAGCAACACACACACACTGACACAAAAACTAACACACACAAACACTAACACACATACACACTCAAATTTTTTTTTTAATTTAATCCCCAATCTTCCCTACATTTGGGAGTGCTGAGGGGATTTCAGCTTTCCCTGGGGTCCAGTGGTGCTGCTGGGCGGCCGGTCACTGCAGGCGGCGAACTGATCCTCCTGTTTAGCTCTCTTGCCCGCCGCTTACTTATGCCGGAGTCCGAATGACATCATATTCCAGCTCCGGCATCACGGCAGTGTGCGTGAGGGAGCTAGGCAGAGAGTGCTCAGGGGAGAATGATCCCTCGCATGTGCGCCCACCTGCCTGCCCGCAATGTAACGCCGCTGCCAGCCTCAGGGGGCCCTGAGGTGGCCAGCTCCTGTGCCCCCAGGAGAAGAGGTTGGCAAACTGGCATACATACTGGGTCCCTTGTGGGCCGGGCCCGGTCGCAGCTGCGACCCCTGCGACCACGGTATGTACGCCAGTGACTTCATATAAAAATTAACTCCTTCAGTTCTGCTTATTCAGTTCATGGCATCTCCAAACAAGCATGCTCAGCATTAGCAACTCCCTCATCTGTCTTCCACACAATCAAACAGACCTCTAGCGAGTATTTTTTGTGTCTCACCACGGACTTGTGCAGTTTCCCAGGCTCACTTTCGCCATGCTCGTTGCCGCTGTTTATCGCCCTCAACCTTGTCTGTTCACCCATTCAAATTTAGAGCTGTTGAATGCTCCGTCGGACCGCCAAACAGGGTGTGAGGTGCCTTCCTCCCAGCATGAGCGCGCTCGTGCACATGCATACGTCATCACGCCCGCCACCCCCCCCAGCGATTTTTTTAACTCTTAAAATGATTAGATAAGACATGAAACAGCAGCTAAATGAGGGCAGGATGGGATAAAGGGGAATATGGCAATAGCAAGCCATTTGGACTAAGGCAATTTGCAAGTACAGTTAGTTCATTAGGATAGGAAAATCATTATTGAGGACATTTTGCACAGACACCTTGTTATTTTCAGGGCACATTTATGTGAGTTAGAGTGTATTCTGTGTATAACCTGTGAGCACAAAAAGGAGAAGTGTGCCATACATTTACCAGCTTATAGGTAATAAAGAAGTTTTGGAAACTTTTTGTTCTAAAGAGTTCTTCCAAGTTGGGAAATTGAAAGAGAAGCCCACTGTTTCTGTTACTATCTTACTTACATGGGGTTTCCTCGCTGTGCCTCACTCTGCGGCTCTGGTGTTCTCACCAGCAAAGAAGGGCGGCCAGCGTCTTTCATGTATATGATTATTATTATTATTGCCATTTATATAGCGCCATCAGATTCCGTAGCACTTTACAATAATATGAAATAGGACAATTACAAGAAAACTTACAGGAACAACAGGTTGAAGAGGACCCTGCTCAAACGAGCATCTACAGGACGAGCTTATGGAAGCGGTGCGATGGCTTTACCCATCTCGCTGAGTCCCACAGTTAGCCCAAGTCCCCAGCCAGCTACCCACATGATGGGAGTGGGACCTCCACCCCATAGTGAAAGCATAGGCACATGTGCACCCACATGGCAGCCTCTTAAAGGGGTAGAAGACTTATTACACAATAATGAAATAGATCCATTTAAAAAGGTGTGGGAAAGGTGGAAACCTCTCCACTATATAACCACAGCTAAACCATGTCTCAGTGCTCATTCACACTTTGTCTTCATTGCACACACTGCTGTGATTCTTGTTGCCACCTGATCTTTGACCTATTTACCTGTTACTCTGTTTACGAACCTGCGCTGCC